CCATCGTCCCCTCCTGCTCCTACGAGGACAAGGAGAAGCCCAACTGCCTGGATCTGCGCAACACGTGCCGGACGGATCACCTCTGCCGGTAAGGGCTGCGCCGGGCTCTGCGTGGGCTTTTCCCAGCTTTTCCCGGTGCCGGGGGGAGACCTGCAGACTGTAGAGGGGGGATTGTGCGGGGCCGTGGCTGGGTTTGCAGCGCTCTCTCGTTGCATGACCCTATTCCAAGTTTATCGGTTGCACCTTCCCAACGGCACGGGGCACTTGCTGGCTGGGTCTCCTCCAGTAACAGCGGTATTCTGTGCGTAAAATGGGGCAGAGTTCATGGGTTTTGGCTGCTCATGGAGAGGCTGAGGTGCGGCCTCGTGTTTAGTCCCTCTTTGCTGTGGGGTGAACCCGTGGGTTTGTGCCTGTGGTTGGCAAGCATGGGGGTGCCAACCGAGCCCCCCCAGCCCAAGCTCTGACCTGCTCCGAACCCCCCCAGTGCAAAACCACGGCTCTGCCCTTCCCTGTGCTGGGCCCGGGAGGCTGCAGTGGGGCAATGCCCTCCGGCAGCGCTCAGGTGGGGTAGAGACGTGGGGCAGAACCAGAGCAGCGGGGACGGAGCTGCCTTTCTGCTGTGGGCAGTGGAGCCGAGTCCCCAGGGGCCATGCTGTCTCTATTCCCCACCCGGGACTGCTCCATCTCCCCAAGCTGTGGAATGTGCAAAAGGCACCGTGGCAGCGGGAGCGCTTGTGCCCTGCAAGCAGCAAAATCCCTCGACGTGCTTTCAGCATCCCCAGCGAAACTTCACGGCTGGTGAAATCTGCTGTTTTCCCCGTGGCGGAGCGAAGTCGGGAGATCAGGCTTTTGTTTCATTATGAAACTCATTATTCACATGGCAAAAAACCTCCTGTCACCCTCCGGGGGCTGGATCAGCCTCATAAAGAATATGTTTCCTATGAGGAGGAGGGTCTTTCTGCCATCAAGGTGATGGAGTTTCCCAGAGCCTCGTGGCGAAATAAATAAATAACGCAGCTTCAGGTCCTCCTCTGGCTGCAAGCGAATGTGTTTAAAACGTGGGAATGTGGCTTTTTATCAAAAAGTAATACAATAAGCCAATGTCTATGAATAAAAGATACCAGGGCTGCGCTGAGTCGCGGCCAAATTAATGGTAGCACCTCTCCGTCAGCCTGATGCTTGCTCAGACATTAAATGCTGCGGATGCATCTGCTCACGGAGAGGGATGACCCGCATTAGCAGCGTGTTGGGGGGGACCGGAGAGGCCACGGAGCTGCCGAGCATTAATTATAAGCCTGTTCCTGCCTGAAATGAAATTCCACCAGAAAGAGGTGAAGCAGCGAAGGGGGAAGCATGTGGCAGCTGCTTTGGCTGTTTGCTCTGAGTTGGAAATGCATTTTTTCGGCAGCGGTGTGGGGGAGAGGCAGCCCTGGCTGGGAGCTCTCGCTCTGCAAAACACCCAAATCCGGCATTTATTTATGCTCCAGCTTTGGGCATTGGTTTGCAGAGTTTTGCCGTAACCTCGGCTGTTCTCTCCCCATGATGGGGTGTTGCGGGGCTGTGCGTGGATGCACTCCTTGGATCTGGGCTTGCAAGAGAAGGTCCCATTCCATCCTCTCCCCTCCCGCAGCTCTGCCCGGGGGGACTCCGGCAGTGCTCCCAAGGCTCGGGCAGGCGGGCTTGCTCCAAACCCCCCCGTTAAAAGCGGTTGCATTAACCAGGCTGTGGCACTGGGGTGTAAGAGGGGTTAAGAGCCTGCAGCGGGGAGCCCGTGCCCGGGGACACTCTGAGATGCTGACGTGCTCCAGCGGCTCACTTGAGCTCCTTGTGTTTGCAACTGCGAAAGCATCTAGAAGCGGTGACCTACCTGGGATGAGCTGTGCCCAGCACCTGAGCTGAGGCGGGGAAAAAATAAGAATTTTTCTCTATTCATGTTGCCTTGCAAGTGAGAGAGGGTTCGGCTTTTTTCTCCCTAGCTTTTGGGATGGGGACGGCTCCGGCAGAGCCTTCTAGCAGGGGCTGTCTGTGCTCTGTGCTTTCCCTGGGAACGGGCAGGCGCCTGCAGGTTGCACTTTGTGGTCCTCGCTCCTGTTTTCCCCCTCCAGCTCTGTCTGGCACGTCTTCCCCAGGGATGAAGGAATGGCCCTGCGTGCTGCACACATGGGCATCATGTCCTCTGGCCCGTGGGGAAAGGACATGGAAAAGAGCTGGTCAAGGAAAACCATCGTTAGCGAGAGACTTGTCTGAGAGCCTGCTGCCCTGTCTGCTTGACGTTAGCTGCCTGACTGTCCAGCGGCTGTGAGTCCGTCTACCCCGGCGCTGCCCCAAACAGGGGCAGGGAGTCCCAGCTCCCGTTGCTGTGGGTCTAGTTTCCCAAATTAAAGCTGGGCATGGACTTACTTGCCAGCTGAACCCCTTCTCCCAAGCCTCGTCTCTTCCTCCGACCGCGTTCCTGGCGTTTCCCAGCTGCTCCAGGCTGAGAGCACGTAGCTGAATGAAATCTAGGCTGTGTAACCACCGCCTGGGTAATGCAAACTCCTCCGGCAGCTGCTGTTTGCACTTCATGGGAGGGTTTTAACCGATGTGGAGGTGCCGTGTATTTAGGGTGCATTTGGCTTGGTGCAAGGGGGTCTCATTCAGCGGTGATGCAGAGGTCCCTGCTGTGGGCTCGGTGCTTGGAGCTGCTGTGCAGACTTGACTGCACCCATGTGGGGATCTACAAACTCTGGTGCCTGGCTCCAGGACCCCTTGAGATGCTGCTGGTCCTGCTCCGGGCGAGCAGCTTGCTCTGCTCTTCTGCAAAAGCCCAGGGAGGGGGGCTTGCATCCATGTGCAGGCTGGGTGGGTTTGGTTGTTTCACACCCCCTTTGCCGAGCGGCTCTGGGCTTGTTTTGCAGGGACGGGGTGGTCTGCAGGGCTGCCTGGTGCTGGGGGGCCTCTCTTCTCTCTCCTGCCTCTCCAAGGCTCTCTACATTTATAAATAACAAAACATTGGCAGGCAGCCGCTGCCAAGATCCTCACCAGGTGCCGGGAACGTGTATAAATAGTGTGCAGGCTTTGTCCTCCTTCCCGTGGCATCTGCACCCACCAGCCTCCACCCGGGGCATGAAACCCCTCCGTGTCCCACCATCCCAAGCCCCCACCTGCGGGCAAGGCCAGGCTGGGGTCTCCCGTGGGATTTTCCCGTTGATGCCCGTGCTTATCGGGCTGGCATCGCGGACTGATGCTCGTCCTCCTTATCTGCATGTGCGACTGGCAAGGGCATTGAACTCAGAAGCAGATCGCAGAACTGCTCCGAAACCCAGCGGTGACAGGAGACGAGATAATGTTCCTGCACGGGCTGCGAGCGTAATTAAGCCTCCTGGCTGAACGCCTAATGAACGGCGAAGCCCTTGGTACCAGGATAGGACTTTGCAGGGAGATTTTTTTTGCTGTCATCTCGCCGCGGCCGGTGCTGAGCTGGGTGCGTGGGGATGCTCCTCGTAGGGGCTGCTGCTCCTGCAGCACACAACCCACCCTGAGGTCGCGTTGCTTTCTTCCCAGAAGAAGCAGAGGAGCTGGGGAAGAGGGTAAATTAATGGTCCAGCATGCAAAACAGTCATTCTGGAAGTTCTCATGACTTTCTGCTGCTGCTTTCCAGCTGCTCAGGGCTGGTGGTTAAACGGTCGTTGAACGCCAGCCCCGTCCCATCAGTGGTCACGAAACTGGGGAGGTAAAAG